TTCCACCCCTCTTTGGAATGCTCCTGGTGCTTCCTGTTGGAGCTTGTGAGAATTAAAAAACACACCCAACCAGCTGAAGTGCTTGGCACATACTAAGGAGGTAGTAGATACTAGTGTAAAACTATGACCATCAATGTTAGTGTTTGGAGTTGAAGGGAGCCACTTTCCAAAAGACCCCCACATTTGGAGTCCCTCTTTCTGACCTCAAGCCAAGAGATGGGCTTGAGAGGAGAGGGAATGTACAGTGTACTGTGACGGAGAAATAGCGGCACAGATTCCTCCGTCCCTGTGACCCACCCTTCTGCCCTATGACTTGCAGGTCCTCCCATCAAGAGCCTGTTTTGCTGCCTCTTGAGTCTGGGCGTGGCCATGCGACTGGCCTTGACCAACAGCATGGGATGGAATGAAATGACACTGTGAAGCTTCTAAGACTGCTCCTCAAGAGGCCTTGAGCTGCTTGTGCCCTTTTGGAATGTAATTCTACCATATGAGGAAGCTCGGCCTGACCACTGGAGGCAGCCGGTGGGGAAAGTGAGGCCCAGCTGGCAGTCAGCGCCAACCAGCAGGTGCCAGATGCGTGCATGAGGCCCTGGTGACTGTCCAGCCCCGGCGACGCTGTCAGATGCCTACAGCATTATGGGTGATCCCAGGGGTAGGGTTACTAGGTTTAATAGGCAAAAATACAGGCTTAAATCTGAATTTCTGATGAAAAACAAATACTTTTTTAGTATAGATACATCCCATGCAATATGTGAGGGCATACTTATACTCAAGATTACTCGTGGTTTATCTGAAATTCAAATCTAACTGGGCATCCTGTATTTTATCTGGCAACTCTCCAGGAGGCACCTGCAGAAGAACCTCCTAGCTGAGCCAAACTCCAAACAAACTGCTGAACTGAGGAATTATGAATCAAGAAAATGGTTTTACTTTAAGCCTCTAAGTTTTGGGGTGGCCTGTTATGCAGCATGAGATAACAGATACATGTATATATCTGAAGCGTCATGGTAGGGCCTAATCTATACTCTCACCTTCCAGGGCCCTACCTGCCCTCCATGTTCCATCCTCTAGGCCTCCTCATTCCCAGTTCAAGTCTGGGTGAAGCCTCAGCGGGTCTTCCTTTGTCTGAGTCCCTTCCACACCCATCCCCACCCTATACGCTTCCTGATCAGATCCAGAGGTACTTACTTGAGATGGGGGTGGGGTGGTGCTGGCTTCTTGGACTCTTCGCCCTGTTGGGAGGTGCTGCGCCCTTGCACAGGGGGCCGGGGCTGTGAGGGGAGGGTGGCACCCGGCTTGGAGGTCTGGTTTGGAGAGCTGCCGCTGGATGCCCGGGGCAGCTGTGGAGAACCTGGTGATCTCTGCTGCTGTGGGGATCCCGACTGGGGGCTCAGGGGCTGCTGGCCTTGTGGGGAGAGCCTCTGCTGGGAGGGGCTTCCAGATCTCGAGGGCTGAGGAGACTGAGCTTGGCGAGGGCCCCCTACAGGGTACAAAAGTTATTACATTCAAATTTTTCTTAGGATAACATGGCTGTGCACAATGTGGGTTTCAAGGATGGTCATTACAGTTTTTTGTTTTTTTTTTTTTAAAAAATAACAGTAAAAAGTGGAAAACAACATAAATGCCTAATTGATTAGGAACATTAAGATACATCCATATAATGGAATATTCTCTGGTCATAATGTATGATGTTACATAATAATATGACATTAAATGGGATACTGTTGATACAAGCAAACAAATACTGCTAAGCTGAACAAGCAGCTGATGAAACAGTACATACAAATTTATTGCATTTTGGCATATATAAAAAGCTATGTAAAAAAGAAAGATGGGAAGGTTAAACACTAAAACTAGGGATCTTGTCAAAATGAAGATTCTGATACAGTAGGTCAGACTGAACTGTGTCCCCTCCAAACTCATATTTTGAAGTCCTATATTCAATGTGACTGTTTTTGGAGATAGGGACTTCCAAGGAAGTCATTATTGTTAAATGAGGTCATAAGGGTGGGGCCCTAACCCAACAGGACCGGCGTCCTTATAAGAAGAGACACCAGGGGCAGACACACACAGGAAAGGCCACGTAAAGACAGTGAGAGGCAGCTGTCTGCAAGCCATGGAGAGACGTTTCAACCCTGTGGGCACCTTGGCCTTGGACTTCAGCCTGAGAAAATACACGTCTGCTGTTGAAGCCACTCAGTCTCCGGTATTCTGTTATGGCAGCCGAGCCGATTGAACAGGCAGGGTCTGTGATTACCAAAGTGCTGGGGTTGTGAAGGGGTTTAATTCTCTTCCTTTGCTCACTGATATTTTCCACACTGAAGATGGGTCACTTTGGAAATGAAATAATGATCCCTTTCTTTTGAACAGCTCTCTCCACTTTTCTAAGGACTTTCAAAAGCAATGTAGCATTTGCTCTAGGGAGGCTGGTAGGGAAGATGCTATTATTATTATTATTAATTTATTTTTTAAAACAGAACAAGCCTTTTCATTCTTATTATTCAAAAAGAGTTTCATTGTTAAAATTTAGTTGAGTCTGTGCTTGTGCCTTTAACACTTTGATGATTTTCTGCTCCTCACTAAGAAAGCACGCCTGCCCCTGTCCCCTATTGGGGACACATTTAGCACCTGGATCCACAGTAGGCCCGGCTGACATGTTTTTCGTGTTAGACAAATTCACTACAATGTTACATCTTACAGCACGACTTCCCGGAGTTGTCTGGGTACAGGCCACATGCAGACTCTGGTATTTCCCAACCTTTTTGGTATGAAGGTGAACAATTCTGTTACTGGTACCAGGGGCATGGGCGCCTAATTTTGTCAGAGGCTGTATTGCAGCACAGCCGCCGACAGTAGGTAGACACTGGACCATTGTGAATGCCTGTAGATCCCATCCCGGGAGCGGGAAAGGGACCATTCTTTTCACCCCATTCAGGTGGAACCCGAGGCTCATTAGGTGTCATAACTAGGAGTAGCCACAGAGCTCACAGGGAATCCTGACTTCTCCCTGTCACTGTACAGAGCATAAAGTCACCTACAAGCTGGGGGATGTCTCAGGCACCCAGAGGTGACTTTGGCATTTGAAGGCCAGCCAGGTGCACTCTCCTCACCTCCAGCCCGGGGCGTCAGGACCCCTGTGTGCTGGCTGCCTGCTGCTTCTCTCCCGGCTCCACCTGCTCTGGGAGAGGGGCTGCCCCTTGGGATGCTCACCACGCTTTGTGAGGGCAGGAGACGGAGAGTTAAAAGGGCCTGCAGCCCATCTCTGTGGCCCTTTCAAAACATGGCTTCTACTCTACTGACCACCAATTGTGTCTCTGGCCGTGGGCATCCTCACAACAGCTCTGAGGAGTAGGCATTATTATTATTTTTTGTTGCTACACACTGCAAATTCCGGTGTCCTGACTGGGAATCGACCTGGGGACCTTTCAGTGCATGGGACAACGCTCAACCCACTTAGCCACACCAATCAGGACATGTTAGGTATTATTAACACCCCCATTTTTACAAAGAAACTGAGTCCCAGATATACTCTGACTTGCTCAAGGTATAACAGTCAAGGAAGAGCCAAGATTCAAACTTTTGAATCTTTTTGACTCAAAAGTCCTGTTTTGCATCCTCCTTCCCTCCCTTCCTTTATTTTTTTTATTGTTATTTTTACTTATACCACACAGGCTGCCTTGAGTCCTCCAATCTGTGCGAATTGAGAAAAGGTGGCTTCCTCCAGTGGAGGCAGCTCTGAGCTAGGTTCATGGGGAGCAAGGACTAGATTTCAGCTGACCTCCCCCTCAGATGTCATCTCAGCTGGTCACCTTTGCAGAGAGCAAGGCCCGCATATCAGGTGGCCCTGACATCATACTGGCCTCAGGGGCCCAGTTCCTGAGTCAAGCCTTGCCATTAACTTGCTGTGTAACTGTGTCAGTCACATCTCTCTGGGCGTCGGAGCCTCCTTTATAAAATGAGGTCATTGGACTGGCCACCAAACATCCCTCCAACTGGAACTCTTCTGTGAGTCTGCACAACACATTCTAAGTTGAACGGAATGGCAGCAACAATCTAGCAACGGGTCCACATGGCTTTGATTCAGTCTTGACCTCTTTCACCACTCTATGTCCCAGCAGACTGGAAGACCCATTGATCTCAAAACTCAAACACCTTCAGGCCCGGGCAGGTACATAAACAAAGCTGGCGAGTGTCAGAAAAATCGTGTGGCTTTAAATTTTTTTCCACTTTAGGTAGAAACGTCATTCAGAGACCCAGTTCTCTAAAGAGGTGCAGTGACAACAGGCAGAGGGAGAACTTGAGGCTCACAGTGAGCCCCTGCCCTGCCCAGGGAGTAGCTGTGACTAACGGTCAGGGCGGCTGCTCTGAGGAATCCAGCCCCATTGTTCCTAGGGCTCCTGCAAATCAAGAGAAGCTGCAAATCTCCACGTTGATGTAAAAGCTCCTGATTGTAAAACGCTGTTTTTTTTGTGTTAGACCTACTGCAGCTCAAAGAAAACATCTGTTTTCTACTTTTATCTTCAGTCTCCTGCCCTCCACCCCCGCTGATAATATCTTGGGAAATCTGGATGCTTGCTGATTCATTTATTAAGTATTTGTTGAGTCCCTATTATACTCCTGGGATACATCAAGAGACACTATAGTTATTTCTTTCAGCTTCTCGGCAAAGCAAACAATTCACTATTTTTATTTGCACCCACACAAAAAATATTATCTTACATATATAAAATATTTGCCTAAGCACAGGATTGGTGCTAAAAAATGATAAGGCTTATTGGAAGAAAACTTCACTTTTACTGAGTTGAAAACACACGGTGAGTTCAAAAACAAGTTAATAATGTGACCTTGTTATTTCGGGAACTCAATGAAAGCACTGTTTTTAAATTAGGCTTGTTATTTTTAATCTGAATGCTAATTCAATGAGCATTTTCTTTAATTATATTAATTGGTTTTAAATGGACAGTTTTTCAATTCACTAAAAGTGTGTTTAGCCTCATGTCCCTTAAAATAATCTCTCTTTATTGAGCATGTCTCTACTCTGGGCCCAGGAGGAAACCAGAGTACAGTGGCTCACTGTTTTAAAAGTGCTCTGTTCAAATGTGTTGTAAAACGTCAGCCCCGAGGCCGGGTGGGAAACGAAGAGGGTAGGGCAGGCACAGCCAGGAGCCTGGCAGGGTGACGAAGATGACGTTTCTGAACATTTATAACTTAGAACCTATCGCCAGGCTGGGCTGCTTTAATTAGAAGGATTGTTAATGATGATAATCTTTAAGAACAACATGTATATTGCAATTGTTTGTAAGACACAAGTTATTAATAGTAAGCTTTTACAAGTAAAAGTTATATAAATTGTTATTAGTAGTCAGCTATTAGGCCCTAACACCTGCCAAGCACCACCTCTGTGCTGAACCCGGAGGCCCTGCTAACTGCTTCACCTGCATCATCTCATGGACAACTCCGCATCACTAAACAGGGCAGCTGTAATATCCTCCTCCTTTATCATTAGGGAAACTGAGGCTCAGAGGGGGGATGTAACTTGCCTAAAGAAGGATTCTTTTTTTTTAATCCTTACCCAAGGATATGTTTTGTTTTTTATTTGGTCTCTGTGTGGGCTATCTGCACAGTCTTTTTGTAGTTGAGCTTTTTTTTTTAATCCTTACCCAAGGATATGTTTTGTTTTTTGTTTTTTTGTTTTTTGGGAAAGAGAGAGGGAGAAATAGAGGAACACTGATGTGAGAGAGACGCATTGACTAGTGGCCTCTCTTTTTTTTTAATCCTTACCCAAGGATATGTTTTGTTTTTTGTTTTTTTGTTTTTTGGGAAAGAGAGAGGGAGAAATAGAGGAACACTGATGTGAGAGAGACACATTGACTAGTGGCCTCTTCTATGTGCCCTGACCAGGGATTGAACCTGAAACCTAGGTATGTGTCCTGACTCAGAATCAAACCCATAACCTTTTGGTGTGGGGGCCGATGCTCCAATCAACTGGGACCCTGGCCAGGGAGGTAATGCTTTCTTTCCAATAGGTTTTACAGCAGGGCCTTCAAAGATGGTTGTAAAACTGCCTGACCTGGCTTCTTGATGCAACACTGCTCTGGAGCCCCAAGCTGGCACCAGTGCAGCAAGTGTGCCAAGAGGGACCTGGGGCAGATTTCCTCCCGGGCCTGTTGGGGAGGACACCCAGCAGCTGGCATTCTGGGAGGAAGTTACTGCTATCATTTCTTTTCATCGTGCCATCAGTAGTTTTTCCATTCCTTAATACATGGTGTCATTTAAACAGTAACGCTGCACTATTTTCTGAGAACAATTTCAACCGACAAGGTTATATATAATGTTCCCTTTTTCTTTCTTTCTCACGCTGGCTGGTTGGCTCATGTATCTATGGTCAGGCACCACTGTTGGCTGGGAAACAAGACACTTTCTAGAAGATCTGAAACCGCAGACTTGTCAACCTGCCACTTTCTTGTGATCTGTCCTTGGACAAGGCCTCAACATCTACCTCTGCAAATAGAAAACACTGATGTTTTCCCCTTGGAGTGACTGGGAGGCCAACAATGAGAAAATAGATGGGGGAGTCCCTAGCACAGTGCCTGGCACATACTAGGCACTTAATAAACTTACCTTGTCTTCCCATCCTTCTCTCCTGACTCTGTGGGGAGGCAAACCTCACAGTCTCATTCATTCCGCATACAGAGTAAGGGCACAGAGTCTGGGCTAGAGGATTAGGTGGTTTTTCCAGCCTGTCTCCTGGCCATCATGCACAGACCCCTCAGTGCCTTTCCACACCCTTGCTGGACGCTTTCTCTGGGTGGCTTGTCGGGGGTCCTACCTTGTGTGGGTGGGCGTGGCTGGGGCTGTCCCAGCGGAGGCCCCAGCTGGGCTGTCCCAGGGGATTTTGCTGGTTTAGTCTGTGGAGCCTAGAGCAGGAGAAGAGAAAAGAAGCCTGTGTGATCACCATAGCCATTTACTTCCTGGGTGGGAGGACAGAGTTTACAAAGATCTTTTCATCACTGAGGTCAAACTTACATAAAGTGTGCAGTTTTCAAGTGTGCAGCACAGTGAATTTTTACATGTGTCTACACCCACGTGACCACCACCCAGGTCAGGACAGAACGTTTGTGGAAAAGGCTGCTCTGAGCCCCTCCCAGCCAGCGACCCCTTCAAGGATAACCATGATTCCCATGCCTGTTATCACAGATTCAAGATTTTGTGGGCAAAGGGGGGAGCTGGTTTCGACACTTGTTTTTCCAGAAAGCTGGGAAACCAGCAAATTCTTTGGAGAATGACCTGGTAATCCATGGTGAGGACTGTGGAGGGGAGCTTTGTGGGAGCTTGTCAGGTTGGGGGATGGGGAAACGGAAGACACAATAGTCTCTATTGAGTGTGCTGAGATCACACAAAGGGCATGAGGGTACACCCACATGCACACACACACACACACACACACACTGCCCCTTGCTCAGGTCCAGGATGGAGGGCACAGAAGGGGCAACTGACTTCTCACAATAATCTCTGCCCACAGACCCCCCAAGCCCATTTGAGGCGAGGTTTTTCTCCCCAGGATAGAGGGACGAAGGGCCCCTTGGAGCTCCCCAACTCCCCCGTCAGGAGCAGGGTGTAGAAGCTGTGCCCCATGTCCAGCCTCTGTCCACAACCCATTCCTTTCTCCCTATGCTGGTTCCTTCCTGGGGGGTATCTCCTTTGGATCCAGAGGCCTCCCATTCTCAGACAGACTGGCATTTCTGATGGCAACACAGTCTCCTTTGTTTCTGCGGACCTTACCCAAGGCCTCAGGGGTGAGGGCACTGTGGCCCCTGGCATCAGCAATTGGCTCATTTTGGAGACAACAAGGTCGGCCATCAGCTGCTTGTCCTCTTCCACATGCTCTCCAATCAGAGGCATTGAGCTGTCCATCACCTGCAGGAGAAATGACACCTGAGGGACACCCATGCCAGAGTAGCAGGAAGGAGAGCGGGCTCAGCGCGCAAAACAGAATTGACCACTAGATGGCGATGTTCTCCATGCAAACACCCAGCCCAGTGCCTCCAGCTGGGAACCACCCCCTGGAGACATGCAGTTCCCTGCAGTTCAGACCAACTCCCTGCATTCAGTTCAGTTCAGCCTACATTCACTGGACTACAGAAACGTGACTGAGGGCCTGGAGCCTTCGCTGACCTTTTCTGCTCTTTTCTTTGGGGAACTGGTCTCCACCCCCTCTTTTCCCAAGGTCAGGGCTGGCTTCCTGAACTTTGGCCCAAGGTCAAGGCTTTCCACAAAGCCAGAAGCAGTGAAGTGCGGGTTCGATTATGACCAAAAAATAAAAAAATGACACGGGTTGAGCTGACCCCTGGTTCAGGAAGAAGAGGGAAGAGGAAAGGCCTTTTCTCTGGGCTCTGGAGGAACATAAGCCTGGGGTGAAACTCATCCCGCAGGGAGTGGGCTGTTTCTCAAAGGAGACAAAGCACGTATTTTTGGAGGGGCCTGCGAGATCAGATTTACCCACCCTGCTATTTCTGAAGCTGTGAAACCAGGCCTGGAAGTGTACAGGGACTTGCCCAAAGTCACATACCAGTAGGCCCAACATCCAGGTGGCTCCCCAGGCATGAGCAGCTGTAGAAGGTCTTGAAGGGGAGTGAGGCCTTGGTAGGTCCTCTCTCTACTCCTCCACTCCTGTCCAGCCCTCTTCACCCACCGAACCTCCATCAAAATCACTGTCTCGTTTCCCCTTTTCCCAAGCTCTGGACTCACCAGGTTCTCTCTCCTATCCGAGTCCTTGTGCCCGTCGTTCCCTCAGCTCATTCTTCACCTGGTTCTCACCTTCAGGAAACACCTACCTAGCCTTCCTCTGGGAAGCCCTCTCTGAGTGAGCGAGCTCTCTCCCATGTCCCCTATCCCATGTTCTCCTGCTATCCTCGCTTCCGTCATCCCACTGGAGAGCTTACCCCACAGCATGTCATCGCCTGTTTACTGGTGACTCCCTAACCAGACTATGGGCCCCTAACGTCAGGGTTGGGCCCTGTGTCCTGCTACACAGGTACACCCTCACTACTTACCTGTTGATGGAGGCATGAAAAGTGCAGCTCATAATGATAAGGACACTAATAAGTGCTATAATTTATTGAGCCCTTACTATGTGCCAGGCACTGTACTCTGCACTGGGGGTGGATGATCTCACACAAACCTCAGAATAGCTCTGTGAGGCACTATTATTATTATTATCCTCATCTTAAGCATGAGGAAACTGAGGGTCAAAGATGTGGCAAGTTCAAGGACACAGGGCCAGCAAACCGCGGTCCTTTTCTCTCTCCCTAAGCACTGGGACAGCTCTCGGTGGTAAAAACTGGGAACAGGAAACCTGAGTTCCAGGCTTAGGTCCTGGTCCGGACAGGCTGTGGGGCTGGGCAGGTCCCTTTCCCCTGTGGCCCACTGATCTAACCACCTGTAAACTGCGGGGCCTGGGCAGCTGTGACGACCCTTGCAGCTGAGGCTTGTCGAGGTTTGCGCGTCTAAAGCACCCACTGCAGTTGGAAGCTGGGAAACGTTTCTCAGAGTTGTGAGTGCTGATTCTAACCTGGTTGTGAGTGACCTCCTCCCGGATTGGGCGTGGATCCTCGGTACCCCAGATTCAATGCCTGGCACGTGGACAGTGTCTCGGTCGGCGTGGGTTGAGCTGAGTTTTAACTGTGAAGTCTGTCTAAATGGGCACAGGCCTGTCCCTTCTCCCCCTGACCCTGCCCCACCTGTTTCTGTTTCCTACATTCCCTGTAGTGGAAAACAGCCCCCACAGGAGCCTGGGATCAGAACATTCTGGAATCCCCAGGGTGGACACAGCCAAAGGAAGTGGACACTGGTTTCCCCAGGGAAACATTTTTCCAGTGAGCGATGTCATTCCCTGGACAGGTCATGGGGGACAAGTTCAAGGGTCTTTCCCTGGAGTATTTCACTGTGAGGATCTTCACAAAACACACCACGCAGATCTTATGTTCTCACCGCAGAGGTGGCTGAAGGGAACCGTATTTTTGGATCTCGGGAAAAACACCTTTTATCTTCCTGGTAGCAGACTCCCCATCTCCCTTGACCCCGCCCTAAACTCAGAGCAAGGGAAACAACCCTGTAATGTTTTTCAGAGAAAAAAAACAACCACCTGAAAAGCCATCTTTTTTCCCTTTTGGAAACCCTGTAATGTTTTTCAGAGAAAAAAAACAACCTGAAAAGCCATCACTTTTCTTTTGGAACATTTTTGAAGAGTTGTTTTGTGTTTTTTTTTTTTTTAAAGTCCAAACTCATTATTGTGATTTTTTGGGTAAATGGAAAGGTCCTTCATCTCTGACCAGCCTGAATGTCCGGAGGCTGGGAGCCTGGGCCCAGAGTGCACGTTTTTCCCCATAAGGGTGGAAGTTGAGGAAATTCTGAGAGGCAGGCGCTTTAGGGCAGAGAGAATGCTAACGCAGCAAAGCGACTAACTCACAGGGTGGAGGGGAGCGCAGGCCAGGAGTCCTCACCCCTGTCTGGATGGGAGCTCAGGGGGCAGCGCTCCCCGCTGTCCCCACCACCTGGCTCAGGGCTGGCACCCAGGATCGGGGTTCAGTGGTGAAGGAATGAACACTGTGTGCACCAAACCTGCGTTCATGTCCGGTGGTCCCGGGAGGAGATGCAGGGGCTGGAGGGCCAGGAGGGGGTCTCAAGAGATGCAGGAGGGCCCGGGGACCAACCTGGGTCTGAAGCTCGCAGGGCACCTCGGCAGGCAGGGGGCCCACTGCCCCTGGAGCCGCGTGGCTCTGGCCTGGGAGCCAGTGTGCAGGCCGGTAGTTCTGCACCTTCAATGTCCCCCAAGAGGCGCCACGGGGGGCTGTCAGGTGTGGAGGCAGCCAGAGGGAAGCCGTTCCTGGACCCGAGGGGAGCTGTTTCCCAGGGGAGGCCTGCACTTACACATACACACGCAGCTCCTCGTGGGCGCTTCCTCCCCTCACCTCCGAGGGCAGCCACTCCTTGGGCAGGGCTGCGACTTCCCCGCACAGCTGGAGGAGAGCAGCAGGGCTCCCACCCATCAGTCCTGG